CACCACGAGACGGTGGGCGGGGAACAGGGTGGGAGGGTCGGACACATTCTCTAAAGGATCCCTGTTCATTTTTCTTACAGAAGCTTCTGGTGAAAGTCCTGGCACACTCTGACTTGCAGAACTCATCTGGGAAGGCCCAGGTCCACAGGGACACAGAGGCCGAGGTGCCAGGGCCATGTCAGCCCTGTCTCGCCAACCTCGGGAAACCCGTGCTCCCCCAAGACTGCACCGCCCAGCCCAGCTTCTCTTTATGAAGCTGACTTTCTGGAAGGTGTTGAATTCTCTTTCTTTAGGGGCTGTGCTTTCTTTGGACCCTGTGGATCCCTGCTCTGGGTTAAGATAATATTTTGAACAATGTGTGAAAACCATTTGGCTGACTGTGGTCCTCCAGAGCCACCACTACCTTGTGTCCAACTCTGCTGTTGGCACAGCCCTTCGCCCCATCTCCAGGGATTCCTGGGTTTTGGACGCCAGCATGGAGAAAATTTGGCCTTGGAAAATCGGACAGTGACCTCCCTGGGTGTTGGCAGATGTTTTCTGTGCTCAGTGACCTCATCGACTGCGAAGACTGTTGATGTCTGTATGTCTCCCTATAAGAGGAGGCCAGAACCCCCTCCATGGCCTTGGGGTCCTGAGGGTCACCTCAGTCCTGGCCACCTCCAGCCACATTCGGTTGTGGGGGATGTGAGGAAAGTGGCAGAGGCTGCCCCACATGCTGCCCTCCTGGGACAACCATCAGGCCAGCTCCAGCTGTGATGGGACTGAAGGGTTGGGTCTCAGGTTGGCAGGGGCCACTGTGTGGATCCGGAACCTGGAGGAAGCCTGGAGGGCAGGAGGCTTGGGCCAGGCCCCTGAGCCCTGCCATCAGCTGCTGAAGCACCACGTGATGTGACTGAAAAGTCACATTTCCAAATGACGCATCCTGCCTTCTCAGACTTCTCACCCGTCCCCCCCAAGCCGGCCTGTCCAGTTGGGCCTACTATTGGGTAAGGCCACAGAACTCTGAAAGAAAGTCCCTGTCACAGGCTGAATGGCGTTCCACCCAAATTCCTATGTTGAAGTCCCGTCCCTCAGTACCTCAGAATGTCACTGTATTTGGAGATAGGATCTTTCAAGAAGTAATGAAAATAAAATTAAGGAATGGGGGAAGCCTAATCCAATATGGCTGGCATCCTTATAATAAAAAGAGATGAGGACAGAGGGACGGTCACATGAGAACCCAAGAGCAAGATGCTCAACCACAAGACAAGGACAGTGGCCTCAGGAGACAGCAGGCCTGCAGACACCTTCATCTCAGAGTGAAGGCTTCAGAACTATGAGAAAACGAATTTTTGTTGTTTGAACCCCTAAGCCTGTGGTATTTTGTTATGGCGGCCCAAGCAGACCAATAGGGTCCCCACAAGGATCTGAAGAGCGTGAGGTGAAAACATTGCCCAGGAACCAGAACAGCAGATTGACAGCAGCTGACATCCTGCAGGAGTGAAAGAGTGGGTGACTTGGGTTCCCCAAGCCCCCACAGGGCAGGAGTGTGGGTATGGACAACACCCCAACTGACCAACAGGGCCCCCTCAGACAGAGGCGACCAATGCCTGTGTGGTCAAGATGACCAACTGGGCTGGGAGGTGAGGAGCAGCTGGAGGAGGGAGGGCTGGATGAAGAACACCTTCACAAAACCTGAAGACCAAGGAGAGGAGGCCAAGGAGACACAGGCCCTTGGACCTTCGCTCTCATGGATGCCTCCTCACATCCCTCCCCTCACCAGAGTGCACTCAGCAAGGGGCCCATCTCTCTCCTGAGGCCCTTCTCTGGCAGAGCCCATTCTGATGGAGATTAACACCCCTGAGAGCAGCCTTCAGCCAATGACGGGCAGGAGCAGGAGTATAAATACCTCAGCTCACTCCCCTGGGCACCATGACTGAGTCCCAGTCACACAAGCCTCTCTTAAGGCTCCTTCCTCTCTATGGCTTAGTTCTCTCTCCCCTAACCCTGTTTCAGTTGCTGTCCAAATAAACCAGTGTACGTGAACTCCAGGTTCAGGGCCGGCTTCTGGAAATGCCCCCTCTGGCACCAGTTCTGTGGCTGCGAAAGAGAGTGGAGCCTCAGTGCCTCACGACACAGGGGTTTCAAAATTGCCCAAGCTCCACACCAATAAAGACCTGGCTTCAAAAACCACGCTCCCCTTGTCGAATGTCTCCCCTTTCTTCATCATCTGAGAGTCCCAGCTTTGGAGGAGAAAATAATGGCTTCCCTGAGGGGGGTGGCCAAAGATGGTTCCAATCCTGGAGCCAAGGTGTGAGCTCTGGAAGACTAATTCCTAACCCTATTTGTGGGTAAGAGCCTTGGCTGTTTCTCGCTGCCAACACTCCTCTGGTTTGTATCTGGAAAAGCTGGCAGAGAGGGGTCTGGGGCAGGCTCATGGGGGATCCAAGGCCATCCCCCCACAGCCGGATGGGGATATGCCCTCTGCCTCCTGTCCCTATGGTAGTTTCTCCACCGTCGTGAAGGCCACTGCACAGTAGCAGTCAGTGTCATATTGCCTTTTTAAATTGTCTTTGATTTACCAATTCTAGCCCATTTGGATAAACAAAGCAAAACCATGCTCTCTCTCTGGTTTCTAAATGCTCTTTTTTGGGTGTCTCCTGGAAGCCCGTGTATTCCTTCCCTTTCAGGGTTCCCTTGGGGAATTGAAAGGTCTAGAAATACCAAATTTCAAGGAGGTAGGGTGGATTTATCATGCAAATGGCAGAAAATCTCTCAAATAAATCCCTTCAAAAGCCAGGCAAGCGCCTGGGTGGCTGCCTTCCACTCAGGGCTCAGGGCGTGATCCTGGAGTCCCCGGATGAGTCCCACCTCAGGCTCCCTGCATGGAGCCTGCTCCTCCCTCTGCCTGTGTCTCTCATGAATAAATAAATAAATAAATAAAATCTTAAAAAAAAAAGCCAGGCGAGCTTGGGAAGATTGGAGCTCCTGATGGAGCAAAGACAGGCCACGTCTCCCCGTCTAAGAGCCATCTTGTGGTAGAAACCGCTCAAGGCTTGGGAGCCAAACAGGCCTGGACTCTTGCCCTGTCTACCTCGGCCCCTGCCCCCCTACAGGTCTCTGCTCCCTGCAGCTCAGCTGCTCATCTGGGATATGGGTAAAAGGCCAGCATGGATACCTGAAAAGCATCCGGTCTGTGTCGGGGACACAGGAGCCTCGCACTGGTCATCCCTGTGGCCTTCTTTACATTTCCAAAACACAAAGTGTATTTACTTCTCCTGGGGGAAAAAAAATCCCTGCTCCCCTCTGTCAGCCAGATAGTGCAGGAGATAAGAAGTGGGATTTAAAACGAAGCCTTTTAATTCCTAAAGTTTTCATTTGCTTGGAGGCTTCATGTCCCCCAGTGCACCCCCCCTTGGAGGAGCAACTCAGGTAATTTGGGGGTTTGCTTTCAACTCCCTTGCTGGATATCAGGGCTCCTGATGGGCTCTGGCCTCCATGGAAGGGACTGGGGACCCGCAGGGTGGAGGCTTTCAAAGCAGCCACCTGCCTTCTCCACCGGCAAGGAATGTCTCTCCCAGGGCCCTCCCAGGGGTGTGGAGGTGTGGGCCCTCATGCCTGTCCTCCTTTCTGGACGGTTCTGTGGTGATGGTGCTGCTCCCCAGCCTCAGAGCAGACGCCTCTTCATCTCCCGACCGCTCTCGTTACTCCAGAACACACACTCCCGCTTACCAGCTGTCCGGCAAGTCTCCCCAATAACTAATTCTGTAATCAACACTTCCTGCCCTGTTTTCCAGCTCCCGTATGAGCGAGGCCGACCTACAGATCCCATCCAAACAGTGGGCAGTTGCTTCCTGACCAAGCTGCTTTCAAGAACCACAGGGACGTTTGTATCACAATTCAGTTATTTAAACACCAAAAATATAAAGGCTGCTCACAACTCCGAGTCTGTCCGTGCACAGCACCCTTTCCTCGCTGTTATGAATCAAAAGGGAGCAGGAAAAAGCTGTCTGTTTGCCCAGTGACACCCTAGTAACTGCCAGGCCCACTGGGTCCCAGTCGACACTGACCGACCAGGCTGACAAGGTGACCACAGAGTGAGCAGTCCTTGGACCCTGCTGCCCACCCTCAGCTCCAAACCAGCAACTTGTCTTCTAATGCCCCCCTTAGTCAACACAAAGCAAAGCAAGAATGGGGGACATGCAGTCTGGGCTGCTCCACCAGCCATCTGCACCCCATTACTCAGCACCCCTGAGCCGGCCATTGGCATGGAGGGCTGGACTGTGAGAGGATGAGGTGCTCCCCTTCATGCCAATTATTTGCTGCCTCAAGTTGGATTCTAGAAGAAAAGTGTCACTTCTTCAAACATTTCAGTGGCTAGACCCAACCCCCAGCCCCAACCCCATCCAGATGGTCACCAAACTGTCTGCATTAGCAAATCGAATACTGATTATTCATTCTTTCCATGCTGACTTCTCCCATCCGGGGAACTGTGGTCTTCCCTGAGCTTGCCAACCAGGTGGTGGACAGTGGTCAGAGGCCGGCTGCCGCCGGGTTCAGCTCCAGGCTCTGCCAACTTCTCTGAACTGGCTTCACCTCTCTGAACCTCAGCTCCTCCTCCGTGGTAAAAGGAGGATATGAACACGAGAACCTCCCTCACTGGGTTGGCAACGTATTTAATCACTTAAATCAGTGCCTGACAGTAGCAAGGGCTCTGTACCTGTTGCTTCTTTTGCTGATGGCCCTTACTTGCAACCAGCGTGCAGACGTCACAAAGAAGTTTAGGTTCTAAATCCACCATCTCAAATCCAGCAAGTTGTGCACCATCCCACACCTGCCAGGGTTCCACTGGAAGGTGAGGCTGGATGTGTGCGAACTGACTGTGCTTTAGTCAAGGGGTGGATGGAGTGTGCTTTAAAATTCGTCTGTGCACAATGGGCGACTGTTGCACCAAGCAAGGCCGCTCTCCGGCTCCAGGCGTACCACAGCCCGGCGCAGGTGAGCAGGTGAGGGGTACTCACGGAGGTGGTGCGCGTAGCGGAGGTGGAACACATCGCAGCCGTGCACATGATGGTAGAGGGTCTTCTCGATCAGGTCCTGTGGCTCATACCCGGTCAGCTCGGTCACCCTGGGGGCGGACAGTGGCTCGGTGTGTTACACTGCTCTGCAGATCGCCTTTCATTTAAACTAATATTGGTTTTGCCAACTAATCAAGTGCTAAAAGGCTCAGGGTGGGGGGTGATGTTGGTTTTGGAAAGGGAGAATGATCTTTTTTACAAGAAGAGAGTCTTTGAACTCTAGCCCAGTACAGGATGTAGCACTATTCATGAGCGAGAATGTTCTTCTGAAACGACTGGTGAGAAGAGCCTTTGGGATGGCTTAAAATGCTTTCCTTTTTCTGGGTGAAGCTTATGTGGGGGCGCTTACGAGTGCACTTTGATGCTGCTATTGGGAGAAAGAACCACTCTCCAGGGGGCTTTTGGGTGACAGTCCAGTGGGAACCATTTTTTTTATTATTGTGGTAAAATGTGCATAACAGAAACTTTTGCCATTTTAACCATTTTTAAGTCTACATTTAGTGGCAATGACTACATCCACAATGTTGTGTGACCAGCCCACTTCCATCTCCAGAGCTCCCCATGCCCCCCCCGCCCCCAGCTTCTATCTCTATGAATCTCTCTATTCTAGATATCTCGTAGGAGTGAAGTGATTTGGTCTATATCCTTTTGTATCCGGCTTCTTTCACCTGGCATCATGTTTTCAAGATTGGCCCATGTTGTAGCGTGTGACAGGATGTCATTCATTTTTATGTCTGGGTAATAGTCTATTCTATGGAGATATCACTTTTTTTTCTGGCCACCTGGGTGGCGTCCACATCCCAGCTACTGTGTGTGCGGGCCAGTACACTCCACACGGGACACGGCTGACTGTCACAGTGGTCTCAGGATGCTCTGGTTGGACGGTGGCATTCACAGACTAGCTGGAGACATGCAAGCCTCACATCAGCGGGGGACTCTTGTGCAGGCCCCAGAAGATAGTATATCAACACCCGAAAACAAGGTACATCTGCTGGCGAAAGGGCAGCATGTTCCCAGTGCTTTCCTGCCATTACCACCTCTCTGTTCTCATCAAGTCCCAGGAATGTTGAATTCCCACGTCAGCTCTTTGAAGAAAAGTGGCTCTCAAGGTCCAAGACCACATCATCACTGGCGTTTGGATCACTCCATCCAGAGTTGAAAATGGCATGTGGCAATGGTGTCATATCCCAAGGCCTCGGGCAACTGAGTGGGGAGCGGTGCCCTTGGAGGAGGTGGCCGAAACGTCTTGGTGACAGATATTCAAGAACAGTTGAAAGAGGACAAGAAGGTATTGCAAAGGAAGGGAGGCCCTGGTGAGAAGTCAGTCCTGGAGCGGGGAGCAGAGCTAGGGTCTGAGGACGGCCGGGACTGGGGGTCCTGTTGGCTTGATTTCGAAATGTTGGCTGTAAATTAAACGGGGAAACTTGACCTCATTTCATTCCGTAACCCGCTCCCCTTTCTGTTGAGTTCTGTGCCGGCTTCGGGTCATAAATCTCCGAGAGCTTCATATTTCCCTGGAATCGCTCACTATTTGGTGTACACATTTCCATGGTGTTCCTCCGGGGCGGGAAGGAGATGAGGCTGGAGGTAGGTGGAGAGGGAACTTGCCACAGCCTCTCAGGGCTCGGGGGACTTGTCTAAAGGCCACCTAGAACTTCAGACCCCATTAGAGTCTAACTGTGTGGCAGGAAAGCTGAGATCTGGCTTCTCCCCCCCAAAGAAAACCAGGCATCTCTACGGTGTGGGGATGAAAGAGGCTTCCCAGACCCTTTGGAAGTAGGGTTACAGAACAACGGCCCCGAACGTGTAAATGAATCAGAAACACATGTATTAAGTTTCTCATCAAAGTACACGCTGGTTTTAAAAATTAAAGGGAAAGAGAAGGGTCTGGCAGCAAGCCCTCCTGGTTTTTTCCAAACCTCCAGTGTCTGAAGACCTGTCAGAGGGATTTGCCAAACCCCAAACATGGCTGGGTTCACCCATCCTTAGCAAAAGCACCAGCTACAGTTTCAAAGTGAAATACCACAAAACCCCGATGAACCAAATTTCAGGTTATGCTGAGTTCAGTTGTGTCTGGGATTACACGGGGTGGGGGGCCAAGCGGCCACCCCACCCCAGGTCCACCCCCCAGGCCCCTGTGACTCTATGGCTGCTGGGCTTCAAGCCAACCCCTCACTGTGGCTTCTGGGGTTTGGATGTGGGAGCCGACATCTCCCCCGAGCCGGGCCATTCCGCCGACCTCTGGGTCCTGGGTCAGCCCCCCTGTCACCCCAGGCCTATCAAAGATGGAGCTACAGCAGACTAGAGACCAGAGCGAGAGTGAAGAATTCTCCAGCTCATTCGAAGCATCTCCTAGATGACTGGAGTTCTGAAGTTTTGCTAGAAGCCCCTGGCACTTAGCTGATAGAACAGCAGGAGACTTCTACAGAGCAGGGGCTCTTCTCAAGATCACTGTCTTTCTTTCCTACTCACCTCAGGGGTGCAGCCCTGGGTACGACCCTCACCCAGAAGTGGAGGAAAGCTGGTGTTCTCGAAAGCCCCTGCCTGGGGCTCCCTCCAGACACAGTCTGGCCTGTAAGCTAACCTCGGATGCCCTCTTCTGCAAAGCCCTCGGTTTGTCCTGAGCGTTTCAAAGCCGTGTGCATCGAGCGATGTGAGAAGACCTGAGATCTCTTCTCCGGGGACATCTCCCTCTTTCCTCTTCTAGAGAATTCACTGAGCCTCAGAGGCGAATTCTCCTTGAGTCGTCAAAAAAAACTAGGAGACAGACATAACACGGGAGACCCCAGTCATATCCTCCCAAGTGTCTAAAATAATGAATTTGCGCAGCTGGAATTCCTTTCAGTGCAGCTTTTAGAAGTGGCTCCTGAATCCAGAAAGAACGCCTTCCCACCGCCTGGCTGTCACTTCCGTCACCCCCAGGCGGCCCACCCAGCCGGGCCCCTCTCCTGGCAGGTGCCCGTCTCTGCTGCAGGCAAACAGCACTTGCCAGCGTCGGACCAGCCCAAAGGTCCTGGTCTCCTTGCCCCAAAGAGTCATGTGTACTCTTCGCTTGGAGTTCCTGGGCTACAACAGCAACCTCTGTCATTTCTCTGCCTTCGAGTGGTTCTGAGGCTCGGAGGTGTGCTAACGATGAACTAGGCTAATTCGTGTCTATGCCTCTTGCCCTTGACGAGATAGGTTTTTCTCCCCCCCCCCATAATGGGTTAAAATGACCAATTTTATGTCATGTGTATTTTACCACAATAAAAAATGTTGGGGAAAAATATAAATCTTAGCAAAATTATCTATATTTATATTTACATATTTCTATTTTATGTAAATATATATACATACACACATACCCATATATGTGTGTGTGTGTGTGTATATATATATATATAGAGAGAGAGAGAGAGAGAGAGAGAGTGATTGAGATCTCCTTTTTCCCAGAAAGCTCGGGGTCTCTGAACATTTATTCCTACCGTATAGCTGGGAACTCCAAGGGGCTAACAGGCAAGTGGCTCACCTTGGAGGTATATCAGGCTTTTTTACTTTTACAAATGCTTCATGTCTATTATCAAATTTCACCTTCCCTAACAGCCTGTGGGGAGCCGAGTGGGCAGGACAGGGTTCACTTTTTTTTTTTTTTAAACAGATGAGAGAATGGAAGCCCGCAGAAGCCCCAGAAGCCCTGGGGAGGCCCGGCTGCTCCAGCACACACCTCCCCTGTGCGGTGGGCTTGGGCCTGCGACAGGCCTAGCGACACAACCAATCAGTGCTCCTGCCTCATTCCCTCTGACTGGCAGGCATCCCCAAGTGTGAGGGGAAAGGACAGTTGAGAGAGACGGTTCAGGGGCCGCTGCATCTTCGCCCTCCCCTCCAGCCAGGCCAGCCTGGGCCCCGACGGGGCACCTCCCGAGCTCGTGGTCCCAGCTTTCCCCCGGGAAGGCCACCTGTCTGCTCGCAGCCTCAGCCCTGGTGGCTCCGATGGCCTCCCACCAGCCTGCGTCGACAGCCCCCCCACAACCCACACTACTCCGATTTTAAAATTTTCATGGTCCCACCTACGTGACGGAGATACAAGACGGAGTCCCGACCTCGTGGGGCTTCAGAAAAGGCCAACTTGTGTCCACGACACGTATTACCGGCTCCCACTCCAGTGAGATGTTGAAGATAGAAGTAAATAATATAAAGCAAGTCCCTGGAGAAGCTGGTCACTCCCGAGTCCTAAAGCCGGTGGCAATCCTTGCAATTCATGACCTGGTCCACTGAATCCCTTTCTAACTCGCATTCTGTGACTTATCCCTCGCCACGTTTTGTCTCCACTGTGTAGCTTTCAGGCCCGTTGCCACCATCCGTAGGAGCAGCAGGTGCCCAACTCACCTGGAATCCAGGAATATCAGCTTCAGGTCGAGGCTGGCCCTGAACATGAACATGTTACTGTGCAGCTTGATTTCTGTGATGGCACTGGGCGGCAGCGACTGGCCCACGGCCACCAGCCCCACAATCTGGTAGCACGAGTCGTACAGGGACATGTCCAGCATATATTGCCTAATCTTCAGGTAGCCGCTGCAGTGGATGACCTGGGAGAGCAGAGGGGGGGTGAGCCGCCGACAGCCCCGGGGCCACCGTGGCACCCACGACCCCTGGCTCTGGGCCTGCTGGCCTTCTCGAGCGGGCTGGACTATCCCCAGCCCGGCCTCCCCTGAGCTGCGGCCTGACCAGCTGACAGACGCCTGATTCACCGCTCGGAAGGAACGAGGCTTCTTTCTTAGGAAACAAGATCACGCTACAACGTAAGGGTTGCCTCACCCAGTTGGCTCTGCTCAAGTAACCCTACCGGTTAAGGCTCTAACACCTAATGTATAATTAGCTCATCACCAAGTCACTATTATTTTTTTTAAATTTATTTATTCATGAGAGACACACAGAGAGAGGCAGAGACACAGGCAGAGGGAGAAGCAGGCTCCATGCAGGGAGCCCGATGCGGGACTCGATCCCAGGACCCTGGGGTCACGCCCTGAGCCAAAGGCAGACGCTCAACCACTGAGCCACCTGGGCGTCCCACCAAGTCACCATGGAAAGTAACCATTGGTTCCATGATGCTCTTCGACTCCCAGCCCCCCTGGATTTGACGTCTGTTAATGTGAGGTTTATATCACTTGACAAGCTATGCCATTCCGGGAAATTAAGAATTCCTCCAGGAGAATCAAAAGAGGCCTCCTTTTCATGTATTTTTATTTTGTTTTGTTGGCTCTATTTGTAACTCAAGATTTTATCCCCTTGTAATAAGCGAGAAGCCAGAGTGGCTATATAGAAACCCCTGAGGCAGCCAAAACCCACGCAGGAGAGAATGTATAGTGTCCCAAATGTCCCAGGATTGGCAGCATTTGTATAAGTTAGTGTCAATAAAATCTCCAAAGGGTCGCAATCATCACGTGACAGCAGCGATGCACAGTCAAAATCCCCAGTTCTTTTCAAAAACCTTCTGGTTTTTGAACGGCTCCTGAACGCATTATCTTCAGAGCTGCAACAGACCTGAAAATCCGCCCAGTCTATTGTCCCATCTTACTGATGAGGAAACTGAGGACAAGGTGGGTGATGTATTTTGCTTATGATTAGACAGTAAGTGGCAGAAATAACTCAAGACCCAAGTCTGTTGGGTACAAGGCAGTGCTGATGGTTCCTCACCCTTGGTCAAAACAGGCATAGAGTCTGGGTCAGCAAATAAGAAACATATCCCCAAACTACAAAACAGTGAGGTTGGGGCACCTGGGGTGGCTCAGTCAGTTGAGGGACCTGCTCTTGGTTTTGGCTCAGGTTGTGATCTCAGAGTTGTGGGATCCAGTCCTGTGTAGGGCTCCACACGCAGGGGGAGTCTGCTGGAGATTCCCTTTCTCCCTCTGCCCCTCTCCCTACCTCTCTAAACAAACAAATAAAATCTAAAAAAAAAAAAAAACAGATTGAGGTAAACTTAAAGGAAAGAGTTCAGCCTGGGGTTCAAAGGAGGAGGCTGAGGAGAGGCTGAAGGAGGGGCAGCCCCTGGGGTGGAGTTAAGGAGGAGCATCCTAGAGAGGACAAAGGTACAGAGGCACAAAACTGTCCCCCTCTCTTGACCCCACCTTCCTTCCTTTCCTAACATGCAAATACTCCTGCACAAGGGCCCCATCCCCTCCAGCTCCAGAGTGATGGGCTCACGACCCCTCTCCCCTGAGGTGGGAGAAACGGTAACTTCAGACTCCAGAGAGGAAGCAGAAGTGGGGAAGGGGGGTGCTCAACACAGATTCCCCCCACCTGCCCTTCCTTCTGGGAGTGGCTGACTCTGGCGCTGAGGCACCACGCTGCCCTGCTGTGGGCCCTTCTGGGGACCTGCTCCTGGACTCTGGAGCTAGCCAAGCAGGGGGCCACGTCCCGCAGAGAAGTGCAGCCAGGAGGAGCTCTGCCCCTTAGCCTGTGGGCCTTCTGCTGGTCATCTCCCTTCTCTGCTTGCGTCCCCGGTAATCATAAAATGGGGCAATAATACTCCCCTCAGAGGGTGGCTATGACAATTAATTAACTAGATCGGGGATGCCTGGGTGGCTCAGTGGTTGAGCATTTATTTGCCTTTGGTTCAGGTTGTGATCCTGAGGTCCTGGGATCGAGTCCTGCATCGGGGTCCCCGCAGGGAGCCTGCTTCTCCCTCTGCCTGTGTCCCTGTCTCTCTCTGTGTCTCTCATGAATAAGTAAATAAAATCTTTAAAAAATAACAAAATAAATTAGCCAGATGAGATGCTGGGGCTGGAAGCTCTTTGCCTTCAGAATGGGTTCTATCATTAGTTGAGCACATTGTAACCATCATCACTGGGTTTGACCAAACATTGGAGGGAAGAAGCAACATTTCTGTGCTCGCTGCCGACCCCATGATATGGATTCCGGGTAAACTCTCGGGGCAGGTACCAAAGGAAAATTCTACCCTTGGCCACATGTGTTCCTGATCTCGTCTGACGAAATCCAGTCTTCTTGCAATATCCTTGTAAGAGACCAGCTCTCATACCTGCTCCAGGAGCAGCGGTGAGCAGCCTCACTAGAAAGTTCTACACCAGACATTGTGAAACGTTTGGGTCCCTGTGCTTGGTGTCTGCAGGTGCTCTTGGATAGGAAGCAAAATATAAAACAGTGAAGACCCACCGCTGCCTCCTTCCTCCCTCCCCCCACATGAGGCTCCTCCTACCTTGTAGCCGCTGCACGTCAGGCCTGCATTTCTTTTTGCCAGGACACACTTCATCCGCAGAAAGAACGACCTCTCGATCTCATACTCTGAAAGCAGGAGTGAGGTTAGATTGGCCAACTGTCCCATGATGCTTCCCCCGATCCTGACCCACAATATCAAGCAACCCCCAGGACCAGGTCAGTCAGCCAGAGGCCTCATCCCAGAATGCCCAGACCCTGACCCAGAGAGTTTCTGCCTGTGGCTGGGACCTAGGCCGGGTGGAGACACTGGCCCAGTCCTGGCGTGGCTTCCACATGCTCCAGAGGAAGGCAGCCAGGAACATGGCCATAGAGAGAACTCATGAGACGCCAACCTGGAGCCAACATGAGGACTGTAAGTGCAGGGGCCCTGGCCTCGCTCAACATGCCCGTGATCCCCTCCGGGTAGGCACAGAGAGGCCTGACACCAGAAGAATCGCCTTGGCCAGCCCTGGGGTGGGTGTCTGAGTTGGCCAGGAAGGCCCAGAGCATTTGACTTCCCTCAGGGTAGAGGATACTGAGTCAGGGTTCACAGGTACAGCCCTTTCCCCAGCAGAGGGAGGCAGCCCCAGGGTACCTCCTGCCAGCTGTGCCCGTAGGCACTGATACTGCCTGAGACTACTATGGAATGGGGAAGAGAACCCAATAGACCCACTCACTTGGTCCGATCAAAGCTTTGTCCTCATAGATAGCCCTGGTCCAACCACCCCTCCTTTCTCGACTGCTCTGACCCTCCCCATTAATATTTCCCAAAGGCCTTACCCACCAATCTCTGACCTACCTATTGCAAATGCAAGCAAGTCCCCTAAGGAAACACCCTGTGCTTCAGTGAGCAGATGCCAGTTCTCTGGAATGATGTGCCCATGCCCCTGGGTAAGGGTGAGGGCGCTCCACTCCTAATAAACAGCTATTTGGTGGCAGTTAATAAATTAATTTTTAAAGAAAGGTTACCATTAGCAGTAACCCAGGGGGAGAAAAATTGCCTGTAAGGCTCCTCCCCACCCCACTCTTGGACGGGCGGTCACATTTACCCAGAATTCCTCTGCAGACCCAGAGTCTGTGAGGCATAAGCTTCCCGGCTGCCTCTCTGCATCATTTCCAGCCACACACTGAGGTGTGGACGCTCATGTCTAAACAACTGCACCCGGTAGTTAACCATCCAGTTTTGGAGAAAACCAACAACACAAACACCATGAATGAAACAGCAGGACGAGTTGAGATGCGGAAAACCACCTCTGTGGATGAGAAGCTGAGGAGCAGTCCCAGGGCCCCGTGAACCTCAGACCTTACGCACCCAGGTGAAACGAATCCGTGGGTAGCCCCCCCTCTCCTGGACCTCTGTGCTTCTCTTGTGTGGTTGCTACACCTCAGACATGAACCCCACGGGACCTGGGATTGGAAGGGTCTCATGATATTCCCAAGACTCATTTGCTGTGATTCTATAAACACTTAATTTAAAGCTATGACATGGAAGGGTAACGTGAAACCAGAGCTCATGGGAGAAAGCCCATTTCTGTGTAACCAACACACTGTGGAACTTTCTAGAACAATAACAACACAACGTTCTTAGGAGTTCTCTAAGACTCCTACTGCCTTTTCCATTTTTAAACAACCCCACAGTGAAAGAATGAGACTCAGGTGCACTATCCGCCCCCCTTCCCAACCCTCATTTTGCTAGAAATTACTTCTTCAGAGCTTATCTGTGTGCATGGATGTGGCCAGACTGTTTACAAGGACTTAAGAGTTACAGACCATAGCAGGACACCTGGGTGGCTCAGTCGGTTAAGCGTCTGCCTTGGGCTCAGGTCATCATGCTCTCAGGGTCCTGGGATCGAGCCTTGCATCGGGCTCCCTGCTCAGCAGGGAGTCTGCTTCTCCCTCTGCACCACCCTCTGCTCGTGCTCTCTCTCCCTCACACACACACTCTCTCTCTCTCAAATAGGCAAATAAAATCTTTTTAAAAAATGAGTCAACAGACCACAGCTGCAAGGAAGCCTGCATCTCATCAGAAACTAGCTTAGCAGCTCTCTCTCGCTGGTAAGGAAGAGTGAGACTCATGGTGACTATGTCTGGGGCTAAGAACACGGGGGCCACCGAGCTGTTCCCGCAGGTGGTTTTAAAACAGTGTGCTCGGGGATCCCTGGGTGGCTCAGCGGTTTAGCGCCGCCTGCAGCCCAGGGCATGATCCTGGAGACCCAGATCGAGTCCCACGTCCAGCTGCCTGCACGGAGCCTGCTTCTCCCTCTGCCTGTGTCTCTGCCTCCCTCTCTCTGTGTGTCTCTCATGAATAAATAAATTAAATATTTAAAAATAAAAATAAAATAAAATAAAACAGTGTGCTCTTCTGCAGTCTCTCCTTCTAGCCTGAGAACGGCCCTTCTCAGGAGGAGGCAGTAAGAGTGGAACCCCAGTTTTTCTCCAGCGGGCTACCCCAGTCTACCATGTTTGGTGTCTCTTCCTTTGCATTTTGTTCTACGGGGAATTGGGGCCACGTTGGGATCCCAGAGTTCACAGCAGAGAAGAGAGCCATTGATCAATATGCCAGTTGGTCTCTTTGGTCTGTCAGAGGGAGTTACAGAGCCAGGGCCCCAGAACGAGTTCTTCTGTGTCTTCCTAGCATGCACTGCAAGTATAACTTAGGGAGTGACTCATCTGTGTAACGATGTGCTTCACATCCTCCACCGAATGTCACGCCACATTATGGCCCTACAATTACGACAGGAAGACCCCAGTCCATGCATGTGTAGTAATGGTACTGTCAGGTGGAAGATCGTGTCCCCCACATGGAGATAGGCCAGTGAGGTGGACCTGCCTCCGTCTAGACCAGGGCTTCTTAACTGATTCATGGTGCCATGGCACAAGCCCCACAGATTCCTACCCGGAAAAACGTATTTAAGTGCAGAAGATAAAATACATGAGATCACAAGTGGAACCAACTTGTAGTGAAAACAGTTACCCTAATAGGAAAAAAAGTGGTGATGTGGTTATAAATGTGCTGCTTTATCCACGCATTAAAGAACACGATCCAGTAGCGGGCCTCGTAACTCCAGAAATTTCGAGGCAGCAATGCACATGAGGGCTAAGTTTAAATACCTGCGAGAACTGTAAAGTGAAATGAAAGTGGGTGGGATTCCCATTGTTGGCAAAGCCACGGGTGCCAGTGGGAGTGAGGAGCCATACTGTCCATAATCTAGAAGCAAAGGGAATGCCACATGCCAACCTGGTAGATAAAGATGTAACTCTCCCCACGCAGTTTCACAGACCCCCTGAGTTCTCTGGGGGACCCTCTGGTTAAGAAGCCCAGGTCTAGACCTGTGTCCCAAGGGTGCATTAGGGTCGAACCCTTCGACCACTTCATTTTACCTCCTACCAGCGCCTGTCATGGTCTCTGGCACGAGAAACGGGATCAATAGTGTTGCTTCAAAGGCCAGAGGCATCAAAGCAAATCCCCACGCCGTGTGTTTGCTGGAGAGGCCCAGCTGGGCAGCCCCAGTCACGCTTCCCCTTGGCAGCATGGGAAGCGAGACCCTCAGGTCACCTCGAAGAGCTTCGTCTGGTTTTTATTCTGGTTTCTTTTCATCTGGAGGAAATACCTTGGAGCAGGTGATGGTGAAGAGGCTGGTGGGCCGCGAGGACCGCTGTCATCTCGTCGTGGTCGGAAGGATGGATGTACTCATAAATGCTGTTGCCCGTGAGTTCCACCTGCCGCAGAGGGAAGGGGAGGGTCAGAAGTCCTCTCGGGGTTGCCCGGGGAGGGGGGCCAAGGAGGGGCAGGTGTACAGGAGGTATGCACTGCCGGGGACAGGGCTTCGACCTCAGCTCGCAGCGCACACCTTCTCCACATGCAGAGACACGTGTCTTCTCTCAAGCAGCGCCCTGAACCGTCTCCCACGTGGGGACTGGGGCCCAAAGCCAAGACAGGCCTAAGCAGGAGGAACTGGGCCGTGAAGGAGGAAAAGGTGGACCATGGAGGGGGGTGACCTGGTGGCCCTGGGCAGTAGCCTTTATACAGGAGGCAGCTCACAACAGACTGGAGCCAGGGCCTTGCCCTCCACCTCACTCCCATGCTGCCTGAGGAGACGGGCCAGGCCGGGACACCTGGCCAGACCACGGTCACTGCGAGAGCCACGTCCTCTCAGAGGCTGAGCAGGTGGGAGCCACGGGGGCTCCACTGCACCTGAGGAGGGCTCACCGGCCGACAAAGGCCCTCTCTCCTTCAGTGCTGAGCTGCTGTGCCCCTCAGGCACCGCCAGGCCTCTCACACGTTGCCAGAAACGTGTCCCTAACCTTCTGAATCTGGGATGACTGGGTGACCCAGTGGCTCCGGCCCACGGGTGACCTGCAGGAAAGTCTGGGCCCACTCCAGATAGCCACATGACAGGGTGGTTATTTCTGGGGCTTGCTACCCCAGCTCCTGGACACTACCTACTTCCAGGCACACCCTGCAGAGGACGCGATGGCAGGCCTGGAGGTCACGTGCATGTTGGACAGGACCCTGCTTTGCAGGTACGGGAGTCTCTAGGAAAACTCCAGCTTTGGGACCTTTCCACCGAGGTCCCTGGTGATTTGATGCCTGAACTGGAGAACTCTTCTATTGTTCTCCCAAACATAAGTGCGGGGAGAGGGGAAGTTAGAGAGTCTCAAGACCTGGACACCCTTACCCATCCAAAGATGGGCAGTGCCATAGAATGTTCCAGAGACTATGACTGTCAGAAAGGGCCTTCTGAGTAGCAGTGAGTGGATCCTATTTTAGAGACCCAAGAGTGCTGATGAGAACAGTGAATCAGTGCACCCGGGATTGGTCAGAAGCCCAGGGCAGTGAGGGCTCTTCCATTACAGCCGGGAGGAGCCCTGAAGCCCAGAGTGTGGAAGAAACAAAGCACGGGAGAACAGCACAGAACCGTGGGCAGGCCGGACGAACTTTCTCTGCTCTGCCCCACGGCGGGAGGGCCAGCTAAAAGAGCAAAGGCAGGCTTGTGAGTGCCTTGTCCGTAACCACCCCCTCGTTATTTTTAAGTGTGTCATGCTACGTGTTTGTCACTGGTCTCAATCAGAGCAGAGATAACATGATCTTGTGCAAAGGGGCAGCGCGGACCGTGCCACCTCACGCAGCAGGGCAACCGCAGCCAGGCAATTTAATGGACAAGGTCTCCTGGGAGCCACCGGTCCAAATTAGCATCCAGGCCATCGGCTCTTTACTTGGGACCAAGTAATTTACCCCAGTCCTCTGGCCAGTTCTTCTAATTTGTTAAGACGTATGAGTTACTATTTTATTCAGAACCAACTATGTTTCTGGCCCACTAACTAATCTTGTCCCTAAAACGGCTTTCACAGTCCTGTTTTCTGCATGATTCATGGAATGTTTCTTTCCAATATTATGCCAACGGAGGAAGGGAGAGAATCCTGTTACAGAGAGCCTCCCTACCTCCCCACTGGACACACTCACCTCCCAAACCTGGCACTTGCGCTAATGGCCCTAAAGGGGATTTGCCTACGACCACAGTTATTATGAGAGTTGATTAAAAAACAATGAGGATTAAGAACTAAATGTTCTTCTTTCAAATCATTTCTATTTATCCTTAAAATTTTTTCCAAAAATCAGCAACCAACGGACTTAAACCAGTTAAGTCAGCCATTCAGGACAGGACCATCTCGCCTTCCCTGGGGGCAATGATGGAGGTTCTTTGTGAACCTCCCTTGTGAAAGGGATTGGCTAATCAGTAACAGAGCCGGCTGGTTTTTGTTTTCAATCGATTCACAATTTCAATGGTTTACTTTTATTTTTTAAAGATATTTTATTTAGTTATTCATGAGAGACACAGAGGGAGAGGAGAGCCAGAGACACAGGCAGAGGGAGAAGCAGGCTCCCTGCAGGGAGCCCGATGTGGTACTCCATCCCAGGACCCTGGGATCATGACCTGAGCCAAAGGCAGAGGCTCAACCACTGAGCAACCCAGGCGTCCCTCAATGATTTATTTTTATTTTTTATTTTTTATTTTTTTAATGATTTATTTTTAAAATGAAAAAGTCACAAGATTGAATTTTTTATGTGTTGGCCTATCATTTCTCCCTTACTCATGGTTTTAGGGAAAAAAATGAGCATTTCACTTTGCTCTCAGTTCTTCATCAGAAAAAAGTGTCTTCTTCTTAGAGAAAGTATATTTATATACTTGCAAAACGACTCGCATCTGTCCTTACAGGGATTTGATTTGTGTTTTAATCCCAAAGTAGCTTCATCTGTCTTCAAAGACCCCATTCTTGCCACATGCGTTTGGAGTACGAGAAGAGAGAGGGTCCATGAATTAAGAGGCTTGATTTTCTGAATCCTTGATTCAATTATAAACTCCAAGGCTGTCCGGGAAGTAAAATGGTCTTCAAATAACGGAAATGTTTTTAAAGAACAAATTTTGGAATGATAAAACAGTGCTGACCTTGACTCAAAATTATGCTTGACATGGTGTTTCCTGTATTTACATATCTATTCGTGCTTTTGAGTGGCTGAAAGAAATGTGACTACCTCACACAAAAAAAAATATATATGGTTGTCGCTATAAAACTTCCCAGGTCTCATACATCAACCTTATTAAAACAGACCCTCAATGTGATATTTTAGTATTTGTAAAACCCTGCTAACTACAAAATGAATTGCTTTCCTACTAAGAGCGTTTTTATGTTTTGCTGAATAGCTTTCCTTCCTGCCAAGAAAACTACGTATGATAAATACAGCACTAAATGGATATATTCTGGGTCAGAAGGGGAAAGTCACCCAGTACTCTGGAAACACACATTACTCTGCTTTGGGTGTTTTGCTGACTATGGTAAATTAAGCATTAAAAAAAAAAAAAGATTTGGGTTTCAGGGTTCAAGTTATGTCAACAAACATAAAACGCTGTCCTTTCTCTTTATTTCAAAAGTGAAAGGATTAGGTCTTATGGCCCCAAACAATGCCATGGCTATTTTTACGGTTGAGGTTCCGGCCGCAATCTCAAATATTACATTTTTCCTTTATATGTCTCACAAATGGCTATTTCACACATATCTATAGTTATTTGCAAATTTATATTAGTTACTGAGATGCTACATAGCGTGTTCGACTTTAGTGAAGAAATGTAAACCACTGGGATACTTTTATAAAGAGTCAGAGGAAATACACAGCAGGTATACAGGGTTTTTTTCCTCCTTCCAACATAAATAAGTTAATTACATTAACCAAAAAACCACGGAACTAACCATCTAATAAACTTGTGTGGATAAAGAGTGCTTCCCCAACTCTACTTCTTCCAAATAGATATAAATTTGACTACCTGAATTATTATGTGTCATTTGTGTGCGCACACACCAAGTAGGATTTTCAAGCCTGACGCCTGACTCTGTTTCCCAACACTCAGACCGTGGGCTGAGGAGGCAACTTGCATTTTGTGGTTGTCTCCATCACTCCTTGGTTCGGACCGTGTCAAGTCTGACATGTCGCAAGGATCACCATGTTTACTAATTTAAAAGCAAAAATAATAAACTCTGCCCGACTCCTTACTCCAATACTTGTTTTTAAAAAGTTCAATAAAAAGCTTTGAATTAGGATGGGCTTCTAACACATAAAGAATCATTTTTATACTCTCAAGTAGATCATTCAGATACTTATTTAGATAGTGCAGGGGTTTTGTTGTTGTTGTTGTTGTTGTTGTTGTTTTTTAGAAAAACACCACTTTGCTGTGAATTGTCACAAAGTTATGACAGCCTAAGAGCTTGGGTTCCCCAGGAGCTGCTACCATAGAGTTTAACCCTGAATTAATGTGAAAGATGTTGTTACTTAATGAGATAATGTCATTGAGAGTAATTGAAAGTTCTTGGAACACAGAAGGACGCTATGTAAATATAAGCTATTAGTACTCTCGTTATTCATCAGAAAATCTGTTTAAAGGGTTCCTCGGCCTACTGGACGGAATTTTCTTAACACTTTCATCTCTGAGGATTAAAAAAAAAATCCTTAAGCCTGTTTTAATAAAGTTTTCATGTTTGACATACTTGCCTGACTTTTTCCTACTGATAAAAATAATCCAAAATATACAAAAAAATTTTTTTTAAAGGAGAACATGGGTATTTGACATCCTATTCAATACTTCATTTTACTATTTAAGTAGAGAAGACAGGAAAAAATACACACTGTGATTCTGCCTAGATTTCTTTCTACAGAGTTAATCGTGAGCAGGAGGCAGATTTGAGGGGAAGGTTTGTTGTTGCTTATTTAAACAGTTCAGCATGGAACACTCCCCAGACACTAACGAGGGCTCGTGTCTGCATTCGAGTGTTTTCGTAGCCGGAGACTGATGGTGAGACAGTCCCGCCAAGAGATCAGGAGGGAAAAAAATCAGTCGTTCTACACAGTTTGATTTATCTTTTTTAAAATGACACTTCTCACAGATAAAAGGCATCTCTACAACATTCTTGAAAAATGATGGTGTAGGGGCACCTGGGTGGCTCGTTGGTTGAGCATCTGCCTTTGGCTCAGGTCATGATCCCAGGGTCCTGGGATCGAATCCCGCATCAGGCTCCCCGCATGAAGCCTGCTTCTCCCTCTGTCTATGTCTCTGCCTCTCTCTCTCTGTAGTTCTGATGAATAAATAAATTTCCTCTCCTTTCAAAATTGTGACACCGAGTTTGATTTCTGCATTAATAACCAAAAGGAAATATAATTTTCACTGGGGTTCTGCTTAGATTTCCTTTTGTAGAGCTCATCATTGAACAGGAGGCAGATTTGTCACCTATACAATATTTTGTTCATTCTTGATTACTGTGCTCATATAAATCAGTTTCATTTCCCACATAAAAAAGAGAAAAATGATTGAGAGCGAGATGTAGGATGCTAGAAGCTTATGCCTGACTGAGTGAACGGGGATGTCCCAGAATGTACACGGGGCCTTAGGATGTGCCAGGACTAAGCAACCTTATTATGTGCCCACCACAGGACACTCTTTGAAGCAACTTTGTGCTACTTGAAGTATAGTTCTAATGAAACTCTGGTGACACTTGGCTTTTGTGTAGCTCCTTATGATTTATAAACCACATAAAATGGGCACTTTGATAGATTTCTTATCACAATCTTGAAAGAGAGGTAAAGCAGGCAGTATTTTCTTATTTAAGTGGTGGCTCAGAGAGGTTAAGTGCCTGCCCTACCAGACAATGAAAACCATCTAACTGCATTTCCCTTTTTGCTTTGACTACTAGGGAGCTCAGATCCAAATTTAATATCTGAAAATAGTGACTTTATCTGTTTTATCATTGTTCAGTCATTTTTAAGGGATGTGAAATGTTTTATCTTGTTTGTGATGTTATTATAAGACTAAGCAAAGGCCTGATAAATTACAACTGAAAAATTAGGTAATCTGCTCAAAATCATTCGGCCACAGATTGAATTAGGGCTAGAAACCAGACTGGTTACAACGAAAGGGCCTTAGGTAGTTCTAAATAGGGCAAGGTGGAAATTCAGAGATTAACAACCTTGGAAAATATCTAAATACTACATTTCATGTTCCCACAGTATTTCCCATTCTACAAATATACTGATACCATTAGCCATAAAAGTGTAAGAGCCAAGCCTTAGCAAATTTTAACCCGGAGACCTGGTTTCATAAAGGAAGAGAAGAGTAAGAGAAAAGGAAACACTAAATAATCTTAATATGAAATTCTCTTTAAAGGATTTTACATAAGGATCCCAGGCACAGAAACCCCCTGGGCATGAATAAGGACATTCACACATTGGAAGAGAAGGTTGTAAACAAGTGGCAAGTTTAAAAAAAAATGCATTGGCAGAAAAAGAAAAGGAATACACTAGATGCAGTTTTCCAAATTGGTAATTTTGTTTTTTAGTGAAAAGAAAAAAAGAAAAGAAAAACCCACCCCAGTCCCGTTAATTGGCACGTTTTATTTTGGCTTAACTACTGAGGGGGCTGGTGCAATACGGATTATTCATCTGCCTCCTGGGAGCCCATTTCCTGTCTCTAATTAATTCTAGCGTGTCTTCAGTCGTAATGAAAAAAAAGCACTCTGATAATTCACAATGCAAAGAAACATTTAGTCCCTATATGTATGAAAAAAAATGTGACTTTTAGAACCACCATCCACGCTCCTTAAACCAGAAACGTGAACGGCCAAAATCAGTTAGACTCCTCCCCTCCCCCATTCCGAGGAGCCCAGACTGCTGCTGAATTCTCCCCCAAACCCTTGGCACCACGGGAATAGATAAAAGCTAAGCGCACCTTTCTCCTTTACGGGATGAACCCCCTTTTAGAGGACAGTTCCAGAAAAATTGGTAATATTTAAATGTTCTAGAGAAAACAGGCCCTTGCTGTGCAAAACAGTAGTAAACTGGGTTTTATGAGTTTCTATCACAAGCATATAAAATGCTTTACTGAAACGACCACTGAACTGGAAAAACTCAGGAAAAATTACCCTGAATTCCATGTGAACACTCATAAATCTACCCCCCCTTCTCTCTCCCCAAAGCACAGTCTGCATAAAATCCATGTTCAACATCAGTTTTCCTCTCGCTTTCATGGCAATTCACAATACCACGTGCAGCCCAGCAAGCGCAGACGGAAAAACCTCCCTTTGTGAAGCTCTTGTTAGTGGCCGAGTGTTACTGTAGAAGCAGAGTCCAGGCTATCAGATGGAATCTCAGAACAAAGCTGACTGTTGCAAAGATATACTGGTCATTAATCCCAAAGGAAAAAAAAAAAAAAAAGAAAGTAAAACCAGGAAATGTAACATGAAGAAAAGCTCTGCGGGATGGCCTAAGAAGATGATTTTGCCATTTTGGATTATTTCATCCACAAAAGCAGACGCTTGAATAGAATCATTTATAAGCTGGGTAAGACTGTCAAGATCTGCCAACATTTAATGTTATATTTTGGTTGTAAATAAAGATAGGTAATACCTACCTGCGACAAGCCCAAATGTACAGAAGCTGTTTCCGATATATACATGATTTTGCCATCAGACGCTACCACGAAAACAAATCCATCCAAAGTCTGTAAAAGAGAGCGCCAGGGTAAGAGTGAAATCTGATAATTGTACTGTCACTGAAGTGGAGGAATGTATAAAATATTATCATCCATACGTATTTGTTAAATGCAAAGCGGAGCCCAGGGCCATAAGAGTGATTCCAGGTTACAACACCGAAGCCTTAATTCCCGGGGCCAGGCTCTCAAACGCTTTTAAAGCACTTTAAAAACAATCTTACATCCACATCACAAAAATCATGCAAAACACTTGAGAACTCCTCACATGCTCAGTTTAAATGCAGTAGCTTTATTGTTTAGGGTTTATTTTAGCACTTAGCACAAATCCGGAGTTCTATGGTTCTTAGGGGGAAACCTACCACTATATAGACCATTTTATGTCATAATTGGCAGTCCTTTATACCGCTAGGACATATGCTTTATTTGCCACAATTTTCTAGTTACCCGTAAGTACCATTTGAATAATAAATTCCGAACACTACCACTCCCCTGAAAATAAAATACCCGGTTATTTTAACAGACTATGTCTACAGAATTAACTACTTAGAATTTGCAAGAGATCAAATAACCTTTGCAAAATTCAAGGAGAAAAAGGATCAATTTCTGAAAAATTAAAACTACCTAAATGATACTGCCTAAGCTGGCTAGCCTTCAAAAAAATAAAGTAAAAATTTAAGAGCTAATTAAGACAAATAAAAAGGTAATGATTGTATTTATATGTGGCAAGGATAAAAAGACTAAATTATTTTTGAAAAAGGAAACTGCATTTTTATTTACCCATTCATATTTTAGATCCAGAACCAAAGAAAAGCAATAAAGTTGGTGAAAGATCCATACAACCCACAATGCTGCCCCCATAAAAAATATTCCAAATTAATTTCTGGCCACAAATTCTATTTTTACAGCATGTAATTGAAACCAGATTACCTTCGGTTTTTCTAAATTTACCCCCCTTTGGAGGGGGGCCTAAAAAGAATGTGGTAGAAATGAAACTTGAAAGATATCCTTACATTCTGCTGTCTCAAATACAGTTTTACTGTAAAAATCCTTTGCCAACTAAACTATCATCACCCTAACCTATGCTGAGGTTGAAATCAACATCTTGATTATAAGCCTTCCTTTCTTGTTTCTAACTCAGCTACAAAATATTTTCCCAGCTAAATTCCGTTTCCAAAATATAAACTATACGGCAGTTTTTAAAATTATAAACGTTTCGTTTCGGCACTTTTTGCTCTCTTGCTTAACTCCAAAATCATTAAAGGGATACATTTATTGAAACAGTATCTGACGGTCAGCCATACGAGAAAAAAAAGAAAAAATTATCATAACTAAGTTCTGAAAGTTGCCAGCAGTAACTAAAAAAATAATATCCTTAATGGAAAATGTTGAGTATGCCTTCAGAGCTGCAAATGACCCAATTCGCTTGAATGTACATTTACTGTAAACACACCCAAGCACCCAGCATTCCTGAATTAAAGAAATGCACGGTGGAGGAACCTAGACGTGTTGACTGTGCCCGCCTGGTTTTGACTGAAGTTGTCACTGATGTTAGTGTCACTTATAATATGTTGGAGTATCAAACAAGCACAAGACCGCTGCGCCCGGAGCTGCAAGTGAGCAAAGGGGTGATCGCAGGGCACGGGAAGGACTCCAAGAGCGCCATTTCCCGGGCCTGGCTATGACATCGTTTGCTTTATGCTGTAAAAGCTTCAGGTTTTAAATATTCTCTGAGATCGTCTCTTCCCCAGAGCATGCATTTAAATAAATAAATAAATAAATAAATAAATAAATAAATAAATGTTAAAAAAAATCATACTAGAGCACTCGGAGAAAGGAGTTTCAAAAAGATCCGCTTTTTTCGAAATGCGGAGCTCTTGGCTGACTCGCTGACCCAAGTCATTGCAAGCTGCCGCCAACTTTTTTTTTCTTTTAAAGAAAACACAAAATAGAAGGAGGAAATGCAAAACAGCTCTCGGTAAGCATTTTTCGATGGCAGAGACAAATGACGGGTGGGGGGAATGAATCGGATCGTTGATGAGGCTCTGTAAAGGGCGTTTGAAAGATTCTGAGACAAGAGGCGTTGAGGTCCCCACCTCGCGCCGGCCGCTGACTTGGAAGTGGCCGGTCGTGCGCATGCTTACCGGGCTAGAGTCGCAGACACTGCGGGCCAAATCCGCCAGGAGCGGTTTACCAGTTGGACTAAAAGACTCTGAGCTGAGGGCTCTAAGCGGCTGACCACAACCCAAGCAAGGGTTCCTTCCCTTCACGAGCCAGGTGACCCCGAGGCCCCACCAGGTCGTGACCTGGAGCACTCAAGACTTGAAGGACTGTGTTGAACCAGGCCCCAGCACTTGCTGTGTGACCTCAGGCATGCTGCTTAACCTCTCTGTGCCTCAATTTCCTCCTTCGGAAAAAGCGAAGTTCAAAACAGAACCTCCTCTGGGCAGGTGATGATGCAGGATGCTACAGTAGTAAACTCTCAATAAATGCTAACTGTTAATACTTTATTATAGATGCTGTCTTCCTTTCATTGCACCCCCCCCCCAACATATAGGATTGTCAGGGGCTTTAGAACTACCACACTCCGGCTCAGAGCGCCCGATGGATCGATCGTTACTTCTTTGGCTCAAGCGCCTGGCACAGCATCTGGCACAGAGCAAATGCTCCATAAAAGTTCCCTAAGGGAAGTTAGGTTGGAAGGAACCCGTGTCCACCGGCGCCCCTAGGCCTAGATTTCGCTGGCTAGCGAGTCCTGGGGCTAGTGAGTCTTGGGGCTGGGAATGATGAGATGCGATGCGGGGTCCAGGTGGGGGCTGTCTGGAGGTTACTCTGGCTGAGCTGAGTCCACCCCCAGTCCCCGCCTTCAAGGAGGATGCACTGGACAAGGGGGCGGGTGGGGAGAAGGGGGAGTCAGTAGCTAACTGCCTCGAGGTCCAGGAGCTGTCTCTGGCCTCGGGACTTCTGCAGCCTGATGGTGGCCTTTGGATCCCCCCACCCCCCGGGGCTTCTTGGGGAGGGACACCTGGAGACTGGGGTGATGGGGTCAGAAGGGAGCCCAAACCGCGCGCAGGTCAGCGCTCCTTAGGCGGCTGGAGGCTAAGGAGGCTTTACCTGAAGCAAGTGCGATCCCAGCTCCTTGGCGACGCTGTCCAGGGGCCCGGCGCGGCATGGCTGTCCCCACGCGTCTCCTAAACCTGGACCGAGGAGTAAAGCAAACCAGTAAACGCCAGCGCAGCTGGAGAGGCCCCCACACCCGGAGGGCGCACAGCACCTCCCCACCGTGCGCCACGGCTGGTCCCTCGGAATCCCCAGCGCCCCAACCCGCCGCTTCCTGGGCTCCACAGCAACCGGCTGTGTCCTTGCCGTCGCCCCTTTGCTGGGGATTAAAGAGAAAAAAGGCCAGAGGAGATAGTCCCGCCAAGGCCTCGGGTCCAAGCGCCCCCAGCGCTCCTGGAGCTCGTCGCCAGGCTGTGGCTCCCGTGGGTCGCCCATGTGCTCACGGCTCTGAAATTGCCGTTTCATTTGAAATGCCATAAAGTAATCTAATCTGCTTTGAAATCGGCCATCCTCGAAGCCAAACGGGGGTATCGATTTGACCTGTAAAAACTTCCCCATGGACCTTCCCTCACTGCCTCCCTTCGCTGTGTCGCCAGCGACCATGCGTTTCCCTAAAGATGGAGAGGCCCAGACGGAGAGCCTTAGTCTTAGACGTCTCGGAGGCAGCTTTTCCTGCCTTAAAAAAAAAAAAAATTTAAATTTTAAACCACGTGTAATCCCTCGGACTCCCCAGTCCTCACAAGGGCCTCAGGAGCGCCTCCATTCTTCTGATCCTAGTGCTCCAGCTTGGGAAGGCTTTACCTGGGGGCTTCCCCGGGAACAAGCTCCAAATGCTGCCGGAGGTGTGGTGGGGATGGGGAGAAGGCGGTGGGAGTCCCGTAGGTACTCCACGATAACTGGAAGAATTAGGGTTCCCCAGTTCTTAACTGCTCCCCCACCCGACTTCCTGCTTCTCCCCACCACCCCCCTGAAGGTCAGGAGTATTTCAGAAAGTGCACCTGGGGAAAGGTGGCCCTGCCCAGCGAAACCTCCTCTCCTGTGACCCCAGAAATCCCAGGCTTCCTTCTGGATATTCAGGAGAAAGTAGGAAACCCAGGTGAGGTCTTTGCACTAAGTGCCAGGTGGGAGAGCCCCCAGCGGTTACCTGGAGTCCTTCCCATAAGGACTGGCCAGCAATGGTCCAATTAGCACAACTGCCCAGGAGCAAGGTGGAGAAGGCCAGGGGCTGCTGTCTCAGCCTGCACCCCATTGCCTCCAGCGGGAAGGCGGTCCTGGGCTCCAGGCCCACTTGTGCACCATCCACCCCTGGATAAGACCCCTAAGGGGTTAGCTGTGGGTCTCACCACAGGCATGTCCTCTTCCCTTCCTCCTCCTTTCCTCCCAGCCGATCCCCACTGCAAGTTGGGAGTGCGGGTTGTGAAGCCAGAGCTGGATGCGGGGAGTGTGGAATCTCACCTAGACACAGCGAATTTGGGGACCATTCCCCTGCACTACAAAACTCCAAGCAGTTGCCCTAGAAAGTTACCACGTAGGATCTCCCCTGCTGTGCCCGAGGGGGTCAGACTTCTCACCTTCTGGAGGCCTCCACCCAAGCGTGAGGGAGCCACCCAGCCCCAGAGCCCCTCGGGAGCCCCAGGTCCTCTGCAGAGGCTTTGGGGATCCTCCCTGCAAACTCTGTTCAGTAACTAAAAAAGCGATGACCTTTAATTTCTCCTCCTGGGCTGTAGGAATTAGGGGCTTATTCTGGTCCCCCCATAAGGAAGTGGCTAATTTCCACATATCCTGATCCCCCATACAGGATCACAGTCCCCCAGCCTTGACCATATGAACAGAGGTGTCTTCTTAACCCCAGAAAATCACTGTCTGCCCAATTTCACTTCCAAGGATGACCAAAGTGACCATAGTAGGGCACCTCGAGCTCTCACTAGCAGGACCTTCCCATCCCCCACCACCTACACAGGATGGCTTGGTGGGGGTCAATGTTTACTCCATCAAGGAGAAATGGAAAGAATTAATATTTAAAAGCCTTGGGACTTGAATTTAAAAAAAGAATTTAATAAGACCCAAGAATCCTGATTTCTGAAAATGGACAAATGTTCCCTGGTAACTGTCCTTTACCCAGCTCCCTGGTCCTCTCCCAGGTTTGGACCACACTAGCCTTGCCTGGCTCAGTAGGAAACTGAACTCCCAGATTAGGCTTCTTGCAGTGTCCGCAGCCAGGTGACCTAGGGAAATCTGTACCTTAAACGTACAGACCCAAACCAGACTTGCCTGTCCAGCTCTCCCAAAAGCCTTGTGGAAGGCTCTGGCCTTACATGCCAAAATGCATTGGGTACACAGAACAATTTTTCACATAATTCAAATACCCTGATACTTCAAAAGAGCCAGTTCTCTTAAATCATTACAATTTCCCTAGAATTTCCTGACCCCTCTGCTTTGCTGGTAGGTATTTGGTCTGAATGCCCCCTCTAGACCTAGCCCAAGATGGCAGGGGTGACAGGTTCCCCTGAAGTATCCTTGCCCCCATGCCATCTCAGCCCAGGCAATGGTCCTGCCAGCTCTTACATTAGAAACCTTTGTGGATGAGACCTTTCCAACTCCACCCATAGAAATCTACTTTAGGTTGAACGTGGAGACTAAATACGGTAAGGTTGGTAACAAGAAAAAAAAAGTAGTCTTGGTACTATAAAGCCATATGTACCCCGAAAAAGTGAGGTGCTGGGCATGTGGGCCTTATCTGGACTTCACAAAGGACTTTATTTCAGGAATGAAGGGAGACAGGTAAGACTTAGCTAAGTTCCTCCAAGATTAGCAGTGGTTGGTGGTCCATTTCACCTGATCCTGGGAGCACCCACTGTTTACTGGCTATGGGGGCAGCAGCAGGGTTGGGGGGCAGGAGGGGGGAATCCCAAGCCTAGCTTGTTGTTCCCCTGTCTGGGTTTGCTGTCCCAATTGCCCTACGTGTGTCACCAGGGAAGTCCACTGGAGACTCCCTGCTACTGAGAATCCAAAATCCAGATGGCCAGGCCATAGGAGAGGAGGTCAGCCACTGGCTCCGGGTGGGGAGGGGGTGGGGGGGGGACAGGGGACAGGGAGCCAGGAATCCCCTTTCCCCCTCAGCCTCTGATGGTTTGTGGGTACCTGTACCTTAGTATCCACATTTGGCCATTTGGCTGACTGGCTGCTTGGTTTACCAGGTTTAGGACACCTGGGTGGTTCAGTGGTTGAGCATCTGCCTTCGGCTCAGGTCATGATCCTGGGGTCCTGGGATCCAGTCCCACATCAGGCTCCCCGCAGGGAGCCTGTTTCTCCCTCTGCCTGTGTCTCTGCCTCTCTCTGTGTGCCTCTCATGAATGAATGAATAAGTAAACTCTTCAAAAATAAAATAAACCTTACCAGGCTGTCCTGCTACTGAAGCTATCTAAATATGGTCTCTCCTCTCTGGGTGCTCCATTAGTCACTCAACAAACAGCTGTTGAGCACCTGCTGTGCAACCCCAGAGAAAGGGTCTGGAGTTTGGTAAGAACTCCTAGGATGACTTTCTGGAAGGCAGCCTTGGCTATCTGAAATGGTGACAAGAATACGCCTCACAGGAATCTTGAGAAAGCTAAATGAGGTTAAGAGGGGACCATCTGACCCTGTCACCACCCATCTGTGGAAAACTGGATCTGGGATTGAGGAAAAAAAAAAAAAAAACAGGACAGACCTTTCCGAAGCTCCCAGGAGACACAGAGGAGAATCTCACCTCCTGCTCCCACTCCCCGTTGAAGATGCCAGCTGGGCCAGTCTAGATGGTCTGATCTCCAGCAAGTGCCCTGACCCCTAACCTTTATTTCTCAACTCTAAAGTGAGGGGTTTTTGTGGGATTAAATGAGCTAAAACAGAGGGTGCTGAGCAAAGCTGCTGGGCCCCCGTGGGAGGCGGGGGGGGGGGGGGGGAGCTCCCACTGTCGGGGTCCAGCCTTCTCTGGCCTTCCCACTGCTAGCCCACCTCCTCCTCCCCTCCTCCAATTCCTAGCCCCTGGGGGGGAGAGGGGAGGAGGCATGTTATTGGGGAGCAAGGGCCATCTGAGGACACAAGGTCACAGTGACTGGCTGCAACTACTCCAAAATCAAGAAGGGTGCCCCCCCTGCCAGGTGGGGGTTGCTCCTCCACCTCAACCCCCCTACCCCAGGGTGGAACCCCGGCCCACGGGTGTTTACAGCCTGACTTGCCGGCTTGCCAAGCCTTACCAGCAAGGGGGCTGCAGGATGGGGCCGGGCCGGGGCTACCGTGCTGCCTGCTTCCCGTGGAGGTTGCACCCCAGGAGCCTGGGCCGCCTGGCCGCCCTAGGGGTGCCCCCAGCTGGCGCTCCTTCCTTGCTAACTGGTCTCGGTTCTGGGGTTCCTCCGAGCACTTCAACCTCGGGCCTTGGAATGCTTCATTCTCGGGTCCCCGAGAAGCCCGGCTTTTGGGCTTCTTTTCCAGACCTAGGGTCGCACAGGGCGCCAGGAGCAGGGTGGGAAGGGGGGTTGTGGGGGCGCCCCAGGAAGGCCTGGCGGGCCGGCCGGCGGCGGAGAGAGGGAGGGGGCTTCCAGCCTGGCCTCGCCTGGCCGCCGGCCAGAGGACGTGCTCAGACAACAGACAGGAGGCCCGGGGTCCCCCAAAGCCCAACGGGGAGGCCCAGCCCGGCCGCGCACGGAGGAGTGCGGGTGGCCCGGCGCCTGGGTTCTGGGCCCCCGGAGCCGACTCTGCACCCGAACCTCCAGGGACCCCGCCCCGGAGTTCCCTCCACCGCTGCCCACAGCGGTCCGCTTGGAGACTGTGAGCTTCCCCTCCCGGAGCCCGAGGTGGAGAGGGTTGTAAAGCTCCACATTATTCCAAAAAGAAAAAAAAAAAGAAAAGAAAAGAAAAGAAAAGAAAAGAAAAGAAAAGAAAAGAAAAGAAAGAGAGAGAAAGAAAGAGAGAGAGAGAAAGAAAGAAAGAAAGAAAGAAAAAGAAAGAAAGAAAGAAACAAAGAAAGAAAGAAAAAAGAAAAGAAAAGACAAGGAAAAAATATCTGTACTATTTCAGGTTTCAGTAGAGAAAAGGCTCGCTCCTATCTGTTTAGGTTTAGGGCAAATTTCTTGTCACCAAACCCTCTAAATCAAAGCGCTTCCATTCCCGACAACAATTTCTAGGCGTCTGCCTGAATCTAAACCCAGACAAATTCCATCACTGGAATGATTCCGGCCTCAAACCCCCATTATTTTTGTGTGAGAATGACAGTGTGTATTCCTTTCCCCTGCTTTCCCCAGCACCTGTCCAGAGTCTTCAGGTCTGGGAAGGAGGAGGAGGGGCTCTGTGCTCCTTGGCGTAGTTAGCCTCAGTTTCCAGCTCCATTCCTGAGCTGGGACCACAGGCCAGTCCCTCGTGTCAGCTGTCTGTGTGCAAGGGCCCAAAAGGGGCACCACCCCCTATCCCACTGCTGGGAGTCGAATCCTGGCTTCTAGGAAGGAGCCTAACCAACCCATCCACCTTGGAGTTCCTGTGGCTCTGACTCAGGCTTCCAGAGGCCCAGTGCTCATCACCTGAGGGAGGAACTTGTCCTGAACCCTGCGTGGCATGGTCACCATGCAGCTCTGGCCCAGAGTTCTCCCACCGGGTGCCTCTCTGTGTCCAAAGCACCCCCTCTCCTGAAGAGAAGGCCACAGTGCAAAGAGGGCGGGGAAAATTGTGGGCCCCGCGCTTCCCTGAGCCCTGCGTGTACCAGGCCTTCCCAGCCACCAGTGAACAGACTAAGTTTTAAATTCTGAGTCCACTTCCAAAGCCAGCCTTGCTTTCCCTCCCTCTTCCGTGTCTACCTTCCATTTCTTAGCTATTAAGGGAGGGGTGTGTGTGCACGCGTGTGCAGAAAATAGCAGGTCTTGCAACTGCAGGCAGGGAATCCCAGAGGTCCACAGAGTGGGGGCACTCTGCCATCTAAGCTGTGTCTGGCTCGGGAAAAACTTTGAACTCCCAGGAAGAAGTGACTGGAGTAAAGTTAGATTTCCACCTGCACTGCCTGGTTCCTCACACTCAATCCCAGGAAACTTGCACAGATGCGGAGTTCTTAATAGGCCCATTTTGCAGACAAGGAGAAGTAGGTCTAATGGGGCAGCTTAACAGAACAAAACTTTGAACGTCCCTAAACATTGCCAGCACCCCTAAGCGTGCAGTCTGACCTCCCTGGGGACTGTCCACCTTGGCTCCTATGCCTCCTTCTGCCCCTGTGTGGGAGGCTCCGAGCTCCTCCTCTATCTTCCCTCTGGCCCAGGTGGTTTCAGTGTGAAAGGAGCCATGGCCAGCGGCCTCCGGCACAGCGACAGAACAGCCGGTGGTGGCCGGTGGCTGGCGGCCACAGCAGAGACCGGCTGTTCTGGCCCGTGCTGTGGGACCCTGGAAAAGGCCCGTCCCTCTCTGGCCTCAATTTCTCAGGGACCAAGGGTTAGTCGGCGATGCCTGTGGTTCCTTTGGACTGCGCTATTCACTTTCTGACTCCCGAAGGCCTAAATTGGCGTCTAGATCCTTCCTCACCCAGGGATCCCTCCTGCTCCAGGACTATGGAACAAGCGGGTTCCACTCGCTGCATCATTCGGTCCGCAGCCGAGAGCCCGCGGAGCAGATCCCGGGGCTCCCGCCGCTGCGCAAACCTGCCTTGGCCCTAACCCTTCCTGATGCTGGTGCCCGGATCCCGCCCGGTCCGCCAGGCCCTATTCCGTTCCCGGGCGCGGACCCAGGCTCCAGAACAGAAGCGAAATCAATTACAGCGCGGCTTCCGCAGGCCGCGCTTCCGAGCCCCCAGGAGGCGGGGTGGGGGGGGGGTGTTGGTGGTAGTGATTTTGCATAACTGAGGTCTGTCTAAACGCGGCTTTCTCTCCCCAGGCACCCAACTTTACAACTCCGTGCCCCAGACTTTCTTCAGCTACCGCCCAGAGCTGCAGGCCCCAGGCCTCTGGACCAAGCGAAGAGTCCCGGGCCTCCGAGTCCAGCCCTGCAGGCAAGCGCCCCGGTTCCCTGCTCGGGCCCCGCGGGAGGCGCGGGTTGCAACCACTGCCTCTACCGGGGCCCTGATCAATCCAGACCCCAGAGGTTCAGGGCCATTTCCAAAAACTCTAGCACCAAACAACTATTTCCGGATCCCTCCCTGAGTTCCAACTGCCATAGGCACTCCCAGGAGGCACACAGGTCGCCCCTCAACCAGGCCACTATCCAACAAAGCACAGGGGCCTGGTGCTTGAGTCCTGGACCCCCAGCTAGCCCACCCCTGCAAAGGGCTCAGTGCCAAGATATTCTGAGTCCCAGGGCCTTGGAGACTCACTTCCCAGAGTTAGAACACCCAGATCCAATTTTTAAAAATCTATAAGAAGCAGTACACCCACGAGTTCCCAATTTTTAGCAGGCTTTCCTGGAAATTCTCCAAACAATAAATGGCTTACAATTAGCCCTCTTTCTGCAGAACTTTCTTTCTAATTTCTGGCTCACTTGAAATCATTGGTAACAAACCATTTAATATTCCAATTCTGGCTTCTAATGTGCTTATTTCCAGTATGGAAGTGAGAGGCCAGGGTCCTGTCCTGGTTCCCCACCTGCTTGCAGCATGTAAAGTAAGAAATAGCTCAGTCAAAAAAAATTTTTTTAAAGGAAAGAGAGAAAAACAAAACCCGACTCACCACCACTCCATCCCGGGTGGGAAGGAAAGTCAGCCCTCCTAAAACCTAACTTTCTTTTAATTTTAATATTCTGCTTCTCCGGTGGTGGGGGTGGGGATCACCCTTGGACAGAGTAATAGCGACCACCCGCTTGACAACTCCAGTAGGAGGGGCTGGAGTGGGGGCACCTCTTCCTCTTTATATTGGGGACAGAAAAGGAAAGAAGGTGTCTGGGGTTGAGGTGGAGGTACAGGTCACAGGCTCCTGCACGAGGGAGGAAGGCTCTGGAGGCTGCAGGGCCCAGCTGGGAGGCAAGGGTTAAGCCAGGCGACAGCTTCCGAGCCCCCTGGACTCTGCGGTCAGCTGTGCCGCAGGGCTGCAGGTCGCGCTGGGCGCCTGGCCCTCTGAGCTCCACCGGGGAGGCAGTGTGAAGTGCAGCTCCAGACCCAGAGCCAATTATTTCTAACCGGCTTAGGGGCAACCAACCCAAAGGTTAAGCTTACTGACTTCTGGTCGATTGCCTGGCCAGGCACTGCCTTAATGGAGGTACCCTGCACCAAGAGCGCAGCCTCGGAGCGTCTCGGCAATGCAGCCACCGTCCGGTGTCCCGCGGCTAAAGTTGTCTCAGCTCCCCAACCAGCTTCTGGAGCTCCACTCCGCCCCAGAGGTCTTGGGAGTGTCCAACCGGCACCCGGTGCAGAGTGTCCCAGCCCAGTGTCAGAATTTATCGCGCCAGGCTCCGGCAACCCTGGCTGGGACAGAGACACTGAAAGGTGATCGGTTCAGAAACACCAGGACACCAAAAGGAACGCTGCGGTGCCCAGGCCTCCCTCCCTAGCCTTGCTGCTCAGAAGCGCCCAGCCTGGCAGCCATGGGCTCCCGTAGGCCATGTGCTAGCAGGGAATGCTGGCCAGCACGCCATTTCTTACCACCGGGAGTCTGCTTGGACCCGTGGGTCCTGGTGACCCTTGCCCACCAGGGCACCTGCCCCTCCCGGTTCATAATTCCAATCAGGAAAAGAAGATTGCTCTGGCCGGCGGGCCATTTTCCTACTAATGGCCTCTCTCCTGCAAAGTTTTAGTCTCTCCTACCCATATCGGCCCTGTCCAGCCCCAAGGGAGGCAAGCAAAGAAGGAGCAGCCAGAGAGGCCCAAATCTGAGGCCCAGGCTCCAGATAAATGCCCCGATTACTGTTCGGGCCTTCAGGGCCTGGGCCTCCCGGGGCACTCCCCTCTCCCAGGTCAGGAGCAGCAGGGTGTCTCACCTCTGGCTGGGCTGCACACACTTCCCCTCCACAGAAAAAGAGATAGGGAGGAAAGAAGGAAAAAAATAAAAGGGGCCGTTAAAGAAATGAAGAAAGAAAAGAAAAGGAAGGGAAAGGAAAAGAAAAGAAAAGGAGAACCGAGGAAAGGAGAGAAGAGAGAAAGCCGACTGGACTTGTATGATCACAGAACAGTTCCTGATTCTCCCCGGGCGACACTTGGGCCAGAAGGCGGTCTAGTCCCCGCGGCGCCCGCCGAGACCCCGACTCCCCTCTGCAGCAGGGGCCCCAGCTCCCGGCGCGGCCTCCCCCTGCACTCCCTGGCCCTGGCGCGCCAAGCCAGCTCCCGCTCCGGCTCCGGCTCCGGCTCCGGCTCCGGCTCGGGCCGAGGCTCCGGCTCCCCAGCGCCCGGCCGCCCACCTGCGGCCTCACCTTCGGGGAAGACGGCCCGCATCTTCAAGTAGCTGGTGGTGAGTCGGATGATGGACGCCTTGTCCAGCTGCGAGGTGATGGCCGACGGCAGCGGGAGCAGCTTGGCCAGCTCGTAAAACTCTCCATTTTCCTTCTCCCTCCTGGTCTTGGCCGCATTCTTGGACTTCTCCTTCATCGCGCCTCGGCTCCGGGCATATTAGACCCGGCCGCGCTCCAGGCCCTCGGAGCGCCCCCGCTCCGGCTGCAGGGATGGGGCAGGGGCCGCGGGGGGCCAGGTGAGGCTGGGGCACCGCCCGGGGCAGGTGCGCCGCGCGGGCCTGGGGCACCGAGGAGCCTCCCCGCAGCCGCCGGGCCGGGAGCTCGGGCAACCCGGCGGCGCCGCTCCGCGCTCTGCCCGCCGCCCCGGGCGCAGCCTCCTCCGGGCGGTGCTGCCCGCGGTGCCCGGAGCCCGACTTCCCGCTCACTTCTGCTCGCTCCTCCTCTCTCCCTCTGGTCTCTCGCGCCCGGCTCCCCCCGGGAGGTGGAGGGCGGCCTGCAGGGGGGCAGCGGGGCCGCTCAGTCCTTGACCGGGTGTTCGTCCCCGCGGCCGCGAGGCCCCTCCGGGCTGGAGGGCGGCAGGGGCGGCGGCGGCGGCCGCGGAGCCATGGGGCGGGAGGGGAGCGGCGGGCGGCTGGGGCGGAGGCGGCGGAGGCGGCGGAGGCCGGGCCCGGGCGTGCACTCCTGCCCTCCCCTCCCGGGCGCTTCCCTTCGCCTGGAGACGCGGCGCCCGGAGCCCGCGGTCTGTCGCGAAGCCGCAGCAGCTCCGCGGTCCACGTGCGACCGAGCCGCGTTTGTTTATGGCGGACCCGCCTTCGGGCGGAGCACTCGGCCGCCGCGGCCCGGGGGGGGGGGGGGGGGGGGGCGGGGGGGAGGGACCGCGGCGGGGGCGAGGGCGGGGGCGGCGAACCGCGCCTCGCGACCCCGCCGCGGCCCGGGAGCCCCAGGCGCGCCTCCGCGTCGCGGCCTCCAGGGACCCTCCCAGGAGAGGCCCGCGCGCTCCCGGCCTCGAGGACGTCCCGGTGAGTGCGCCCCGCGCGCCCCGGGGACCGGCTCCGGAGAGCGGGCCGCGGGCCCCGGCGCTGGGATGGGCAGCGGGGAGGGGCGGAGGAGGGACGGACGGAGCGGAGGGTCGCGCAGGCCTCCCCTGTGGCTCCGGGACGGGTCCTGGGCGCGCGCGTCCAGGGAGGCGGCTTGACCCGCCGGCTTGTGCGGTTCCGGGGAGGACCCAGCCCTCGGAGCCCCGCGCGGGTCCCGCGCCCTCATTTCTCCACTTCGCGGGGCCGAGGGCCCAAAAGGGGGGGGGGAGGAGGCCTGACGGGGAGACCCCCTCCCTCAGGATGGGGGGCGCTTCCAGAGGGCCCCTTCTGCCCTTGCCCTCCTGGAAGCGCTAGAGGAAAGGGGATCGGCGCCTTCCGACGAGGGGCTGCAGGCCTCGGGGACGCGCGGGCCAGACGAAAGGAGGGAACCGGCGAGCCGGGCCCAGCGGCCAGGCCTCGCCCAGGGCGGCGGCGGGAAGGCATCCGACAGTCCCCGCTTCCGCGGCCCGGCTCAGCGCAGCGGGGATTTCGGGGAATCGCGGCCGCGGCTGTGCTTCAGGCGGGGGGTCGCCGAGCTGAGTAAGCGAGCGAGCACCGGTGCGGGCCAAGGTGGTGGGCCAGGAGGCGCGCTTGGAGACGCAGCCGTGGGGCGTCCTGGTGCCTTCCCTCGGGGCCACACTGGACCCCGGAGAGTCCTCTTACCCCATCCCCCCTGCCCCCCGCAGCTCTGCGCCTGCAGCCCCGGGACGGCGCTCCTCCAATCCCCGACGGTCGCACCGACCCTCACCCTTCTAGCAGTTTGAATACTGCAGCCACTGTGCGGAGGTGCGCGCTGGGGGGACGCCGGCTGCCCCCGCGCGGGGGGACAGGGGGCAGCTGCAGCCGACGCAGGGCGCCGGGTCTGGCGGGTCCCTCGGCCGAGCGCCGCAGACTGTACGACTGTGGGGCGCCTGGCTTCGAGGTTGGCTCGGGGAGGAGAGACGCCGGGGCTCCGGGGCTCCGCGCTGGGATCTCCGCTTCCAGGGCCACCTCTCTCCCTCCCGGCCCGGAGGGAGCCTGCTGCTCCGCGCACCCCCGGAGAGGGGACCCGCCTCCCGCCCTCACGTCTGGAGAGCGGGCCGGTGGGCCACCAACTCTGCCGCGGGCGCTCCGGACCTTTTCTAGGGCTCCCTATGAAGGGCAGAAGTTCCACCGCGATGGAGGCGGGCGAGACCTTGTGTGCGGGCTCCGGCTTGGCCCCCACCTGCCCCGCGCCCCGCGGAACCCACTGCCACTGCGGTGGCCTCTGCTCCCGGGGCTGGCGCTCCGAATCCAAAAAGCAGCGCGAAGTTTCGGAGCTGGTGGCCTCCCTCAGCCAAAAGCGGAGCGCAGCACGGGTCCCTTGGGGTTCTGGATCTAGGAGCACTTTCCTGTTTCCAGCGGCGTGTGCAGAAGGGTCTGGACGGAGCGCGAGCGGCGCGGGTACGCGGTACCCAAACGCAGGGCGCAGGGCCCGCTTCCCTGCCCGGACTCTAGCGCCTGACCGCGCACTTGTCGTCTCGAGGCTCCCCGGAGAAGGGGCTCCGAGAGGAAGGGACCGCCGGCTGGGCCTGTGCGTGCGCTCCGGCACCTCCCTGGCTTCGGGAGGATTTAACGCTTCCCTCACCCCCACGATTTCCGATCCTCAATTATGGACCCGAGAGAATTCCCCCCCATCTTGAAAAGGATTACTCAGATCGCAGAAACATGGCTAAGTGGAAGCGGGAGAGACCCAACGAGCAACGGGAACAGAAACTTAAACCAAATTTCCCGGATTTTCCCAGAAAAGCGTATTTGAGATCTGGTGATCTCATCCTCCCAGCCGCTGTTCTCACATCAGCAGGATCCGTCGGAATCGTGGGGTCTGAGAGGCGGCTTAACGGAGCCTTTGGAGACTCATAGAATTGTGGGGGTGGGACATTTCCATCCCTAAGCCTGCCTCACCCCCCAACACATTCATTCAAGATACACACCCCACACACGCCCCCGCCCCACGCACATCAGGATGGGTCTGGGCTTCCTTCCTCACCCCCATCACCAAAAATAACCGGAAGAACTTGGACGCAGACCTGTAGGTTTTCCCAGGTGGTAAGAATAGTGACGTCTATGTGGAACAGCGAAAGGATAACGCTCCCCTCCACCGCCCGCGCCTGGTTGGGTCTGTTCCAGAGCCCCTTCTACCGGAAGGAAAGCCTGGGACCCCTATTACACTTAGAAGGGACATCCACAGGCTCTGTGTAAAATAGGAAAAGCATTAAATCCGGGCTTCTTGGAGTGATCAGGAGCGTCAGCGGTGGCCACTGACTGGGACACCTGCTGTGTGTCCGTTGCTCCAGGGCTCCCGGTGCAAGTAATAACCTCCTCCCATGCTTTGGTGCTAACTCCAAGTGCCTCCCCCGGAGCTTAGAGCTACTTCTCCCCTGTAGGGAGAAGGGACCACAAAAGACCCTGAAGTCCGGGCATCACCCAAAAACAGTAGTTCCCCTGCTGGCCTGGAAGCAGCCTGCAGACTCTAGAATGAAGGGAGGCTGGGGGCAGGAAGAAGGCTTGTGGGAAAGCCCCCCACACACACACACACAAAGTGAGGTCAGCAAGCTCCGGTAGTGCGGCCTGTTCGCCAGGTGCCCCCACCCCCAGTCCTGCTTCCCGCACTTCGGTGGACCCCAAGGTGCACCAGCACGCCTCTACATACCCCCCACCTCTCAGAAATTTTCCATTAGGAAACTGATCTGGAAGAAATTGAGGCCCCAAGAGGAAAGGGGCGGGCCCAGGCCGCCCCACATCTGCTTGGATTTTCCGCTTCAGATGCTCCGCAACTGTTTTTCCCCGTCCCCGGCCGCGCCCGGCGCCTACCTGAGGCCCATCCCCCGCGGAAACCGACTTTTCGAGTGAGATCAAGGGGGGAGACGCGCAGATGTTCTACCGGGGATGGGCTCCTGGAGAGGCTGCTACAGTGGCAGGCGGGAGAAGATCAGAGACTTTGTCACTAAGGAGGTGGGGGAGGGGAGAGAACGCCTCCCATCCCTGGCACTAGATGTGGGGGAGAAGGTGCCGAAGATGAGGTTTCTAAGCAGAACGAGGAGACAGAAAATCCAGGACTGGAGACATCTGGATCTATTCAATTAGTCTACACAATTAGCAAGATATGGTTACTCCAGAACATCCAGATCGCCTCTAGTATCACCTGTATGACTATCCTGGCTAGGAGGAGTTTTTTTTTGGTCCCAGATATCCGAAAGAAAACCCCGATTTTTCACTCCTTTCCTTGGGCAAGCCCCATAGAATTTATCATCAACTTTTCCTGGAGTCATTGCTACTGCCAGAAAGATCAGACCACAAATACGGTATCACTGCTCATTGTTTAAAAGTAATTAGTAGTAGCCAGAGCACTTTCATATTGACTCCATTCCCCCAGAGGTGTCGTAAAGCCAGTAACTGGCTCTGCTCGCCTACTTCCAAGTAGAGGAAGAGGAGCTTATCTGGTTTTTTTTTGTTTTGTTTTTAATAAGTTCTTTCACTGCAAGTTACTCCTTTGGAAAGAGTGTTTGCTTTCAACTTGGTGGGCAGTGTCTCTGATGATCTGATTATACTGCAGTGAGCAGGGCAGATCTCCCCCTGTGCAGGGGGTCCAGAGGGCTCCGGCCTCCACATGGTGCCTCAGGCATAGTTTGGGTGTGGGGAGGCAAGAAGCAGAGGCATTCCAGCGTGGGGCTGCAGGGGGGAGGGGGATCATTCTCACCTTCTGGGTTCCTACCTGGGCCTGCTCTAAGTTGACTCTGTTCTGGGGAGTCTGAAGAGAGCATGGTCTCTTTTTTGGACTCCGGTGTTTAAGACGACTCTAGGTTCTGACATTGGGGTCTGGAGGCCAGGGCAGTGCCTCTTGACCTAGGAATGGAATAGCTGCTGCCCACTTCTCTCCCTCCCTCAGGGGAATGCATTTAAGGGAACAAAAACAGTGCCTCCGGTAATTAATTATAGCAATTAATCAAGTCCCTGAGCCTGTGCCACAGGGGGCCATGGAAGCTGCCCCTTCGGGTAAAAGAGGGCCACTCATTTCTTCTACTTTTTTTTCCCTGTAGGT